GCGAGCAGGCGTTCATGAAACCGCTCAGCATATGTAGGCTGATCGCCAGGGCGTGCACACTGCGGCTCAACGACAAGGATGCACTCATTGTCCTCCGGTCCGTCTGTGCGGACGGCATCGACGAAGAACTTCGTGAGCTCCTCAACCTCCTGGACTATGCCAGGGGCACGGTGCAAACACTTGGGGCACTGCCCTCTGCACGCTCTGGTTCCCATGAACGGCCAACTGTTCGCTGCACTCATGTGAGTGAGGCTGATGGAGCAATCCGGCACGAGCTCCAAAAGTGTCGCATGGGTAAGGATACCCGCCGCAACAGATCTATGTCTGTTGGCCTTGCAAACAACATGCACGGCAATGGACCGAATCCCAGCCTCCTTGGCGTCGAGGATGTTCGCCAGGATGTGCCTAACGTGGGCAATCAAATTGGGATGGTCTGCGTGCTCCCGAATTATATCGGGGTTTGACCCAACATGCTTTGTGCGGTCGCGCTGTTCATCATTGCGCTGCTGGGCTTCTGCAGGCGTCAGATCGTCTTTGCGATCGTCTTTTAGCCACACCATGTCAAGCATCACCAGCATATAGCTGGTGGCAGACGCATACGTCGTGGTTGCATGCGTTTCCATCTCTTCGTGCTGTGCGAAGAGCTCGGCTGCTGTCCACTTCCCTCTGACGCGTTGCAGCCAGGCATGGTGCTCGAAGCCCCAGGTAAAAACATCAATAATGATGTCCGGGTTCGCTATGTCCCCCGCATAATACGGCTGCAAAGCCAAATCCGGATTATACACGGATGCAGGGAGAGGCGTGTCGAGCTCCGGACCGTATGGTCCCCCACCTGGCATTATAACCAGGTTCCTGCCATGCGGATCCTTCTTCACAACCGCATCAAACTCGGCCAGCTCGCGGTGCCCTTTTGCGATTTCCTTCGGGTGCACTGTGGCACGAGCTGCAGGCGGGATTCCTGGGCTATCCCCAGGCCTGGCCTTCTCCGTGGGAGGAGCCTTCTTAGGCAGTGGACCTCCAGGTGGCGCCTTAGGCGGAGGCGCTGACGCCGGTGCGGCACTATGGCCGACCGCTGGCGACTTCGCCATGGCACTGTGGCCAGGCTCCGGCGCTGCAAGAACCTTCGGTGCAGCCTTCGCCGTTGGAGGCGCCTTCTTAGGCAGTTGCCCCTCTGCTGCGTCCATCGCGGTGGGCTCCGTGTCTCCTACGGACGTGCCTACCATGCAATGGTTCGGAAACGCTACGCTTATACGTCGCTTGGTGTTGTTGCGATTCTCAGCTGACGTTGTAAAGCTGTGACCGTGGCCTACGCCTACAGTGCTATGACCATGGCCTGCACCTACAGTACTGTGACTGCGACTTGTTGCCGCTGCATCATCTGTCGCTGCTGCGTCTCGGGGTGATCCGCTCACAGATTCTGGGTGAGCTAATGCGGCAGCGGCGGCAGACCTAAATATAGGAACTGGCGGCGAGGGGATTTGGAAGCTCTTTATGAGACGGGGTTGTTTAACCTGGGTCAAGCCTTCTGTTATGTTTATGCATAACAGCCCTGAGTCATGTGTCCGACACAGCTTGATCCTAATGATGGTATCCTCTGAAGGAAGTCGAACACCACACACACCAAACCGTAAATCTTTGGTTATACCAAGCTGGGCCTGCGCATAAAGGGACAAGAGGAGAGGGGCTGTACCCTTAATCTCATGCGAATCAAGGACGCCCGGAACTCTCAAGTCCTGCTCCAATCCCATTATAGAGAAAGGTATGGTCCTGCTACCCAAGGTCTCGGTAGCGCCGCTAAGACCCTTGAAGGTACGATTGCCCTCAGGTTTAAACCTCGTGCTGTAACCGAAGTTCGCAAGTTTCCCCGCCGCGTTTGCTATCCAATCGCTACCGTGAACAGTCGAGTTACAGCCCTCATCTAACACGGCGTATACGTGCTTATCCTCGTAGATATTTACTACGGGCAAATCAACCAAAGCCGGATGGATATCTGTGACCCCCTCGGTAAAAGCCACGAAGGCGTGCCTCGTCGCGGAGGCCCTCGAAGAGCGCGATCTCGCCGACGCCACTTCCCAACTGTTGTTGGTCGATGGCGCTGAGTGATCGTCTAAGGCCTCTTGCAGGTATGCGAGAAGGTCACCGCGGGATATCACGGGCTCAGTTACAAAGTGACCCTCTATGGTCTCTTGAAACTGGGCAATAGCCGGAACTACTACCTCTACGGGGAGGCTATCCCCCGTGCTGCCGACTATGCTGCGCAGAAGATCGAAGTCCAGGGTGTTGGACTCCCGCAGCACTGTGGCTGCGTCATCCCTAGCCTTTCGCTCGGTCTGCGGCTGCTCATCTAGAAGCATCCCACAAAGCTTGCACTTAATGCGGGAGGTCTTCCTGCTGCTACCCGACCTCTCGGTGGAGGTGTGGGGGCATGTGGCCTGATCTATGACAGGCTTCTCTTTCTTTGTCTTGGTGACGGTGCCGCATTTCTTACAGGTCCGCATGTCTATGTATGCGTTACTCCCCGACTTGTTGAACTCCTTGCAACCTCCCCGGCATTTCCGGGAGCCTTCGCTGGACGAAGCAGCTGACGCAGCGAGGCGAACCTCGGGCTGGAAGGGTTCAGGCGGGGGTTCCTGGCTGAGAGGGATATCCCTTCTCGTGATGCTGATGGGGTTATCATCACGCACACCAAAGTACTCCGTGACCCAATCCAAGAAATCGGCCAAATTTATGGATGGGCACTTCTGCGTGCGTCCCCAAAGGATATACCCGGGGTATGTGTAGAGAACGCGCTCATACGTCAACCCCTTATGCTGGCCGAAAGAGAAAACGCGATCAGAACCCGGTGGGGGACTATCACGCATGATCCCTGCGGCGGCTGTGCGTCGAAGCTGCGGTGAGAAGAGGGTTTCATTGCCGCGGCCCTTACCGGTATTGGTCTTTGAGGGAGTCAGCTCAAGGTTGGCTGGGTAACCCTCGAGCCTACCAGCGCTCGCATTCGACAGATGAACACACTCTGTGTCATCCTCCTCCACTGCGGCGAAATACGCCTGAGGCTTCGGCGCCGCCGACTTTGCGGCTGCGTTGGCAGTTCCCCCAGACTGTGCTGGGGTTGCAGTTCCCTTGGGGCCATTGCCCTTACCGCTAAACTTGCAGGCAGCATCTCCGGCCCAATGGCCAATCACACCGCACTTCAAGCACCTACTCTTAGCCTTAAGCTCTGCAAGTTTGGCCTTGCGATCAGCGATAGTCAAGTTACTACGCACGACCTTACCGCCGGATTTCCCGGTGGGCTTGCCCTTGTTCTTCCCCTTTCCTTTTCCTTTCGCCTGGGCAAATGCGGTCTGTGCCGCGTACGCAAGCTGAACTGACTCGGCGTAGGAATCATCCAAATCATCAATTTCAGCTTCATATGCCACCGCCGTATAGGCGTTGAGTTGCAATGCTAGATCCTCATCATCAATCCATTCATCCGCATCGTCTCCCCCAGACGCTGTGGCCTGGTATGCTTCTTCGCCGTAGCCGTCACCGTAGCCTTCCGCGGATTCCTGTTGTTCCTGGTGACCATACTCTGCGGCACTACCATCATACCCCATATAGCCGAACTTAGGGTATTGGGGCTTAGCGTCGAAACGTCTCCAAGTCTTACCCGGGCCACTAGGGTCCTTCTGGGTAAGAAGACGTTCCTTCATGTGCACCACTGAGTGATGCTGAACAAGGACGCGTGCGTACTCATCCACGCTGTGTACGCGGGCGGCGGTCTTGACCATTAGCTGCTCGGACCTTTCCAACCCTGAAAGCTCAACAAGGAGATTAGCCCTCATTGCTTCAGAAAGGCGGATATCGGGATCCAGCTCACGCAAGGTCGACCACCACCGCTTTCGGCGGGCTATGTAAGACAACATAGGCTCGCCAGGTTGCTTTGCAAGTGGGCCCGTCAGGAGCTGTCCCTGACGGAAGAGTTCGGACGCCTCTTCGGATTGAAGAGGGAAGGCTTGCCTCCTGATTTCTTCTATCAGGTAGTCGACGCCGTCATGGCGAAGCAGACGTTCCAGGCCGACGTCGCGAGCGATGCAAAAGGCATCTCCTCGGAGACCCTCTAGGATCTTGCTAACGCACTCGCTCATGTCGAGCGACTCGTCCTTGACGTCTTGCAAGGTGTACACCGCCGGATCTGTGTCCGGCTCTTGCTCGTCGTCGCCCGTCACTTGACTGGGGTGCGACGGTAGCGACTCCGCATCCTCTTCTTCTGCCTCGGACACGGGCTTAGTCCGTTTTGCGCTGGACGGACTGGCGGGTATACCGCTGCTCGCATCGCCCTCTGTGGGGGATGCACTGGTCCCTTGACTGGCCCTGCCACGCCACTTCCTTGGTGACTCGCTCTTGGACCTTGCTGACTCGGCAAAACGCAGGTCCTTCAGAGCTTCTCGCCGCTGCTTCTCCTTATGCTGCAGCACACGGATCTGTGTCCGGAAGCACCAATCGTGGAAGCCAGCAGCCGACCCGTCGTATATGTACGAGCCGCTTTTGGTTTCTGCAGGGCTCAGGTTCTGTGACCAGAGATTGGGCTGGTAACACAAACCTGCCACGCTCATGGCTTCGAGGATAGAAGGGGCCTTTGCGCCGCGACTATCACTACTCTACCCAACGGACCCCGGACCTCAGGCTCAACGGGGGTGAAACACTAGTGGTTGTCCTCACAGCTCCGCTACCAGTTTGAAGCAGGAACTGGATTAGTGAGTGTCCAACCACACAACGAGCACACTTTTTGATCTGAGCCCAAGACGTCTGTCGTACAGGGTGCATTCAGAACTGAACATGAAAAGCTACACTCGCATGAGGACATGTCAACACGGCTCTTCAAGACAGGGAAATTTCACAAGGGGGTTTAGGGTTTAGGGTTAGGGCTGAAAGCAAGCCATGCGTTCCTTGCCCCTTCAAATGGGTGGTTGTCAAAATTAGGGTCCCCTTTTGGGTCCTTATTATAATACGGCACCTGTGATTTAGGGTACCAAAAATGGGACCATACTTTTGACAACCACCCAAATAAAAGCCACGACGAGATACAGCATATTCGCCCAAAAAGCAAACCAGTTCGCTGCCGACACTGACACATCTCCGTCTGCCAGCCAGAGATAGTCCTTGGCCACCGGGTTTACGGTTTAGGGGTTTAGGTTCAGGCGGTTAGGGTTTAGAGTTAGGTCATAGCCCCTCAATACAAAAGGCCGTTTCCCGACTCTACTGCTCGATTTCAGATAGGAAAGGCCAAAGCAAGAAAGAAAAAGGCAAAGTTGTGCAACTGGGAGGCCAAGAATCGTAGGTGGATAGTGCCGTCGCGGTCAGATGTTTCAGCCACGCATCGATCTTCCGGCTCTTCGGAGCATGGATCACCGATACGTTCAGCGGAAGGTCCGATGTATCAAGCTTGGGCATCGCATTCGTATCCCACACAAGGAGGATCACGTGCAAGTCAACTTGCAGCTGTGTGATGCCTTGGGGCCCCCAAAAAAAACACATCAGCAAAAAGAAGGATAGGGATATCCCATAGAATCCCCCTTAGAAAGAAGCCCAATAAGGAAGGGATGTCCCTATAACATGCTTATGCTTATGTGGTTTTTGAGTCCCTGATGCCTGCGTAGCAGACAACATCTGCTGGCCACTGGTCCAGCGGCAGATTTCGTCTTAACTTGGCGATAAACCCTTTCCGGGCAGCACAGTGGGACGTGTTGGCCGTTTGAATACCGCTTGTCTTGTTAGCCAAAGACCTGAGGTCGTCCTTCGTGAACTTCACCTCTCTTCCCCCAATGGTACGTACCATCAGCACCTGCGATGTTTTGGTTGGGATCTTGGGAGATACTTGGAGGGTCGGGGGACTTAGTAAGTAGGTAGTAAGTAGACTTATAAGTACCCTAGAAGGGGGTTATGGTACTTATAAGTCCCTAGAATAACCAGCTACTAAGTCCCCCGACCCTCAAGTAAGGTCAGGTGCATGATCTAAGGGCTTTGTACCTAGGCCTAGTGCAAAAGTCGCTGCCTGACTACTCCCGGTAAAAGGAGGGACCCTTAATAAGGACCCCTAGGTATAGACCCCTAATATAGCTATTATATACCCATGACATAGCCCATTATAGGGTAGAATGCGAGTTTCGGCCATAGCCGCCTTGAGCCGGATCGGATCCGGATCTCTCAGGCCAAGCGCATCTGTAAGCGCCGCGAGCTCACGCCAGCGCAGCTGCAGAAAAAAGAAGGTCCAAAGAACCAGACCGGCCACCAAAGCAGCAACTCGGCAGGGTTTAGGGCTTTGGGGTTGAGGGTTCAGGGTTCGGGGTTTGGGTTTGGGGTTTAGGGTTTAGGGTTTAGGGTTTAGGGTTTGGGGTTTAGGGTTTAGGGGAGCAATCAGCAATCAGGACAGTCACACAACGTTACGCAAAATCGTCGGAATTAAGCTGATGATCCCACGTGCTCCCATTTCGCCAATTTTCCAGAAAACTCCGCCAAACACGTCTTCAAATGTGATGCGCCAGAATGATATCAACAGAACAACCTCTTGTCAAAAACCCTTCAAGCTGCCCTTGAGGGTTCCTTCCCGGGATCCTTTAAAGGTTCCTTTGTTGCGGGCGTCGGGATACAACAAAGCCAAGCCGCCACGGACTATGCTGCAATGCATCATCGTGGCCACGGGATGGTGTGACAAAGGTGGTCACCAGCATTCATGCTCAACAAGCTTTCCGAGGCGGCAGGCTGCTCAGGTGAGGAGGGGTGCAAGGTGCTTCAGCCGAAAAATTTGAGTGCGATACACCTCAAAGCAACAACCTCAAATTCTTGTCTGTTCAGACTAAGCTGCGGCGAAATATCAGCTTGAGAACTGAAGTGCTGCGCTCAAGCTCAAATCGCAAATGGCAAGAAGCTCTGAGAAAGGACATCACGACCCGCTCTATCCATACTTAGCACAATTTCATAAATGCCTACATATGCCTACATGCCTGGAAGCAAGTGACTCTTTCACCTCACAGGCCTACTCCTCGAGGCGTCTGCCCCGTGCGCCCACAATGCATGCCGACACGCTGCTATTCGATTCTTGCGGTTTCGTAGAGCCCAACCACAACCAAAGGAATGGCTTTGCAGCGGCCTATCTACATAGAACGGATGAAGGTTGCGGCATTAATCAAGCAATCACTGCGCGCATACTGAGAATGGTTGCACAAGGCCGCAAACCGCATGGTGCGCGGCTCTTTGCGGTCCAGGGTGTGAGGACGTTCGTGGCAAAGGACGGCAAAGAGTCTAACTTTGGGGTTTAGGGTCTAGGGTTGAGGATCTAGGGTAAGGTTGAAGTTTAGTGTTTCGGGTTCAGGGGTCAGGTATGTACTTCAATTCCATGACGAAGCAAAATTTGAGATATGGGATCAGCTGCTAACGAGGAGTCATAGGTAAGACATGGGATCGCCTGATAAATCAAACAAGGGGGGGTGAGCGCAAATCATGGGAACGTATGAAGTCAACCGCCTTCGCCTGAGGGGCCAGAAACAAGATATACTGTAAGGTCAACGGACTCGTTTTAAGAGGGGCCGGGTTCAAGATATGGGATATTATGGGATCAAACACACTCGCTTAATGAGGAGGCGGATTTGAGAAATTAGGTCAACCGCTTCGCCACTGAGGGGCAGGTTCAACATATGAGATCAACCTCAGTCGACTACCCAGGGGTCGGGTTCAAAATGTGGGATCAACCGTACTCGCCTAATGAAGCGGCGATTTTGAAGAATGACATCACCGCCATCGCGTACTAAGGGATTTGAGATCAAAGCAACTTGGTCAAACGAGGGGTCGTGTTGAAGGTATGAGCATGATCTGAGCATGGCTGCCATTGCCTAAAGAGGGAGCCAGCTTAAGGTCTGGGTCAGCTCGCTCGTTCAAATTTTCAGTGGTTCAGGAAACTGACGCGTTCGAAAAGGAGTTGTTAAACTTCCAGGCCCTCCAAACCTTCATGCCGGCCGTTCAAACTACTTTCGAAGCATCAATCAGCAGCAAGTCGAATCGAATTTGCAGCCAATGTTTCAAGCTCGAAACTTTCGAAACGTTCTACCGTTCGGACTGCCACATATACTGTCACTTACCAAGCTCGATACTTCCTTCAATGATTCGCGAACTTTCGAGAAAAACGGTCGGTTCGGTCCTTGAACACTTGTTTAGTGTCAGTACGTACATGGAAAATAAGGCCCGATGTATTGACTGGCCGAGTCCACGAGACACACACCTGTCCCTCGCGCCTGAAATGTTGTTTCAGATTCTTACTGGTCTCCAATCCGTGCAGTGGAGCGTTTGGATTGCGGCAGCACAGCGAGACTGCTGTATGTCGGTAACTGCATGAAGTCGAGGATGCAGAGCCACCACAAGTTATTCAGGCACCAGCACGCTCCGTGGCTTGGTCTTGGCAGTTGAAAGATGCGCTCACTTCGCAAAAACGTGCATCGTAGCTTTGTCAAAAGTTACTTCGGATGTTGAGTTGCATTGGCATAAGGGAGGTTCCGAAAATTGGGGGTACCTTATTTTGGGGTCCTTCTAATGGGGATCCTACTATTTAGGGTGCTATATTAGGGTCCCTGAATTTTCGGAAACTCGCATAAATCGCCAAACAAAAATGGAAGCCAGGACTGATCAAGCAACTGTCAAAGAGACAGAAACGCGGTGGAACGTAAAGATCACCTTCAACCACATCTGTTTTGCGTGTTTCGACTCGACCTCATGCACGATACAAGCTGCACAAGATTTGAAACTTGACAAACATGAACGGAAAATAAGAAGTGAAACATGAACGAATAACTTGATGTATACAGCACAAAAAATACAGAACACCTTTCGCTTTTTTGTACGTCGCACAACGCTTTTTTGGAGCATCGTCCATAAGTGCACAATATGGTCCTTCCGTCTTCCCCTGCTGAGCTTGAACATTGCATCTTAACGAAAATATTGAACATGAAAAAACGAAACTTCTGCTTCGGAAACGAGAATGGCCCCTCCTTTGATAAGGGGGGGGGCTTAAGCCCCTTTTGAGCCCTCTCAGCCCCCGTTCAGCCCATTTTTACGCTCTTCTTTCGGGCCTCCTTTCAGCAACTCCCTCAAGCTCCCCGCAAGCCTCCTCTTAAGTCTCCCCTTTAAAACCCCCTTCACACCCCCCTTGAAGCATTTTGAATTCCAGGTCATCCTTTAACTCAAATCGCACACTGTTTACATGTTGTTGGCGTGGGCAATCGGTGACAGCGGCTGCTGCGCTCCACCGCTCATTCCGTACAAGAAACTGGGAAGCAAAGAAGACACATTGAAAAGATAGAAATCAAACACTACCGAAGGCTGCGACAAGCGGACTCAATCACTGGAAAAATGGTCAATTCGGTGACTGTACAAATTCACTCCCTCAGGCCCTATGGCGAACAAACTTGTCCAAGCTCACAAGCTGAATCCGTCAAACCTGGACTGCGCAATGGCCGCATGAATGCCTACAGTGCATCGGGCCAGTAACAACACAGGTGGCCGCTCAACATAGTGCCGACTGCTTTGCCAAGTCATCCAAGTCTGTTCAGCAGTCGAAGTGGAACATAACGTCTTATTTCCCAACGAAACTTTCGTGAGCGCACGTTTCGGGGGACCCTCAACTGCGCTGCAGTAAACCCTGATGCAAAAGCACTCCTTTTTTGCTCCTAGCGGATATGGGGGGTGAGTTCGGGCCCGATCTTCGGGCACTGTACATAGAGATGCCGCTGGCATCTTCTTTAGAAAAGACGACCACTGCTCGCAGGTAAGGCCAACGACTCGTCCACCCCCCCCCCCAGGGAGACTCCCGTACTACCGGAGCTTTTGGTGAAACCTCTAATGGACCTGAAAAGTCCCTGCAGACTACCAGTAACTACGCAAGAGAAAGCAATTTCACGGCTTACGGCCTATGTACATTCTGGCACGCTGTGCATGCCAACCGCATCTCTGCTAGAGATGAGACTGGCAGCCCTGCTGCTTCCATACGTGATCCTCGATCCCGCATACTATACAGGGTGTGGAGGGTGGGACAAGAGACTAGGATCACAGATCCTATCTTCAAGCCGAAAGCTACAAGGTAAAGCGTTGTCTAGTGTTCACAACACACAGAGAAAACATTGTTTTCCTTTTCGACAAACTTTGTCTACACTTTCGGCGGGAAATAAAACTCATTCACGCACGCATGATGGAAGCCTATTTCCCAACGAAACTTTCGTGAGCGCACGTTTCGGGGGACCCTCAACTGCGCTGCAGTAAACCCTTATGCAAAAGCACTCCTTTTTTGCTCCTAGCGGATATGGGGGGTGAGTTCGGGCCCGATCTTCGGGCACTGTACATAGAGATGCCGCTGGTATCTTCTTTAGAAAAAACGACCACTGCCTCGTAGGTAAGGCCAACGACTCGTCCACCCCCTTTGAAGGCACTTGAAGCCTTACCCACCCCCCATTCAGTCCGTGCCGAGTGACAAAGCCAACGGCACTGGGTTGGGAGGAAGGGATTGGCGCTCTGCGCCAAGCTTCTCAGTTTCTTCCCACCAGTCTCTGCTGGGAAATTGCTTCAGAGGAGAAGAAAGAAATCAAACTGTGTCACCGAAAATGCAGAAGGAATGTGTCCACACTGCGTGTGACCGCTTTCTCCGAAAACCTGGCCGCAAAAACGAGCCTCATGAGCAGTCGGAGTTTGCACCACCGCCTGACCCCCAATGGCAAGGTTGCTCTGGCATACTGGGGAGGCCACCCCCCGCGGACCCCAAACCATACCCATTTTTCGGACCCAAAAACAGGGGACACA